TTGAAAATGCAGTTAACTTATCCCAACACATCGAGCTCGATGTACTACCGTTGCGACCACGAACACGCCAAAAAGCTTGCGATTTCGCCATGATTAGGGTCTGGGCAGTGCGTCTATATAAATCTCAATTCGGAGTCAAGCCGACCATGACATGGTTTCTATAGTCGGAAGATTAATAGCGTAAAACTGTGCTGTGGATGTTTAGTTAGTATGTACTCTCTGCCAAATTATCAGTACTGTAAACCCAGAGTATTTACAGAGCACACTACTAAATTCATACCGACCTGTCATTTCAACGACATACATACCGGTATATATACTGTACTTCACCACATCACGTTACTGAAACAAGTTCCATCAGTCGCATGGTATTTCTATCTCCAAATTGTCGTGGCTGGATGGAGTTTGACCACCTTTGTGGTTTTGCACATTATAGCCAATAGAAGTGCTTAGCTTACAGCCTGACGGGCGTCGTGCAAATTCGATTTATATCACGTCAAATTCAAATATCTTTATATTTGTATTTAGGGGTTCATAATTTCTCGATGGAAACGGAATTTGCCCGACGCTCGTCGTGCACGAAACCTTATAACCGGATGCCGGTCGTGTAAAAACCGTATTATGTAAGTTACTGAATTTTGTATGTATTAATAAAAAGGTGTCATCTAAAAACTTCCAACTGGCCAAATCGATAGAGTGGAAGGTTTTATTATTTAACGTACAATTATTGTAGTTAAACCCAAAATCTAAATACGTTAAATACCGATTTCATGCGTTTAGGTCCAACTCCTCCGGATATTATATACGGACAAGAGCCACATACAAAAATCAAGATACATCTCAGCAGCCACCCCTATGGCCAAATATCCATACGCCGATGTAAAATACCACTAGGTTAAATATTTATTTCTGGACCAATTCATTACCAAATTTGAATCTGAGACGTAGAATTTCTTCACCACATTGAGATCTGCCGATTCTACGTCTCAATTTGCTGAAATTTTGAGTAATGAATGTACGAAATAGAAGTCAGAAAATTTTGTGAAAAGTTGGTAGTTTATAGGTGACGAGGATCATATTAATTTAAACATCATATGAGTTTTATAAGTTGGTTCACCTCAAAAGTACAACTAATTTCGATAAGGTTAACGTAAGAAATCAATTTACTGTTAAGACACATGACTCAATTTACGATCTATGTCCAAGAGCCAATCAAACGGCGCAAAAATATTACAAAAGTCCAAATTTTGCGTAAAAGCACAATATGTATCATTAATTCAGCTACAATCTCCAAGTTTGAGAGGTTCAAAAGTTGGAGATTTGGAAGTTCTCCAGAGCCGCCTTCCACAGATGCGTCTTAAATTGATTTTTTACGTGGCAACTAAGCTTACTACATGCCTGGTAGTTTGCTTTTAAGTAGCACGTTGTTCAGCCGCTTCTGAATGATTCGCTCAAGAAGTGATCGCGACAAAGCTCTCGCTCCACTTGGTTCTGCTTGTCGTCGCTTAGGAAGGCAAGGGTGGTGAAATACAGTACATGTACGAAGTTCAAAGGTGAACACTAACATATCTCTGCGGTAAATCTATTGATATTGATATTACGCTGTAAAGTTGGAAAATCACTCAGCGGGCACTTCTGCGGTAAATCTACCGGTAGTCGTCGCAGTAACCACATTCGAATGCGAGAGTCAACAGTTTATTACATACTATTAATAGTATTTAGCCACTTCGGATAAGCTTGGAAACTGTTACTGTCAAAGCTTAGGCCAAAAATATGCAGCACACTTCTCGTGTTGCTTGTCTAGCACCAGTTGATTACCCTTAGAAATCAAAATATATAGAATGGGGAGCCTTCCACAAGGATCACAATCAGTGTTCACCCCTTCGTGTCTCTGTACTGTAGCTCTGTCGACGCTTGGACACAAATTACCCACCGTTGTTACTGTAAATTGCGTAATTATGGCATGGACCTTAGGAATCTGCCGGGGATTAGTCTCGGGGAATATCAAATTAACTGTAAAGTCTGGTAGCCCTGTAACCTGTCCTAACCCCTGTGGGCACATATACGTACATTTAATGCTATTTCCGGGGTTAAGTTGCACAACACAATTCGGCAAGGGTATGCGTATAAGTGCACCTCAGTGGTTAGCGATAGCTAAATACTAAGTATTCGTAGCACTTTGCCCAAAATGCATTAACTAGAACTGTATTAATAGTAGGTATTTCACCGAGTACTTATCACTTATCTGTGCAACAACTAGGACAGTTATCCGACAACTCAGTATCAGGTAGTTTTCGAGTAGGTACATGTACAGTAACTACCTGCTGCCAAGGATTTCCCCATGGACATTGGTGTCAAGTACAGTACATGTACATGTAAGTAAGCTCAGCAGTGGGTGCACAAGCGAGTTCTACGTACCAGATCGTTTAATTTCACCATGTACATCGACTACTTGTGCATATTACTAGTAGTATTAATAATATAATAGTAGTATTAATATTATAGTAGTACAGTATAGTAGATAAAACTACACCCTAGAGACTTGCCATTCTAACGCCACATCTGTCATCATACCAAACAACTGGACCTATGGAGATTGCTGATGAACCGACAGTCGACTGTACGGGATTGTCGCCCACATGCTCGTCAACAGTCGACGACGGTCACCCACATGAAGGGCGCTTCGTCGGTAGAAAGGGCTCGCGAATTCGTAAAGAAACGTGTCCAATTGTGGTGCTTACAAGGGGAGTATCCATTGGATTCAATTTGAACTTTACCATCTTGAAGTCCCAAACTTATCCAAGTCAATTGACCCATTCGCCTCTAAAGTTCGCCCCAGGAACCAATCAACGACGAAGAAGAGCACATCAGCAACGAAGTGCTTGTGCTGTTACACATCGAATTGCGATGGAGAAACCACCAAGTCTTCATTACGCAATCAGCTGGGAAACAAGCATGGGTGAAGTTTCTCCACAATCCATCAACGACCCGCTAGTCGCCGAGCCAACGCCAACAAAGGAAGAAGCAGCAGCAGCAGCGCCATCGTCACAACACCAGCCAGACCAAGATGTGTACGTTCCGATCCAAGACTCGCCGCAGTCGCGCATGTCTGAAAGCAATCGTGAGAACGGACTGTCGCGCCGCACGCTGTCTCGGTCTAGCACACGGTCGTACCGCGCATCTCGTCGGTCAACGTCCCGCGTCCGACTGAGTCGATTGGAATCGATGCTGCATGAAGAACACTCAAAGGCGCTCGTGCCGTCCGCCGTCCTCTGGGTCACCGTCGGCATCGCGCTCATAGGCGCGTTTCAATTCGGCTGGCTCTTATCCCAACTCAACTACAAACAGTTCAATGCCAAGTGCTCAGCCCCTGTCATTCAAAAGGGTAACTGCCTCGTGTTTCCTGGTCACTCGTCGACAGAATGGACCATGGCCGTCACGTCTTGGATTGTCGGCGGGGCCATCGGTGCCATGGCCAGCGGGTACCCCGCCGACAAGTACGGCCGCAAGCGCACGTTGTTCCTCAACGCTCTCGTCATGATCGTCGGCGCCGCGGTTCAAGTGATGTCCACTGACATCTACACGTTTTCAATCGGGCGGGTGATCTCGGGCATCGCGTCCGGCGCCGCCATCAACGTGTGCAACGTGCTCATCAGTGAGATTTCCCCGTGTCAAATGCGCGGGATGTTCTCCACTGGGCTCCAAGTGGGCGTGGCTGTCGGGTCGTTGGCGGTCACGACGGCGCACTACGCGCTCAACGCAGAAGCGTACGCGTGGCGCATCCTCGTGGGATTTCCGGCCGTCCTGGGGGGTCTGCAGGTGCTCCTGATGCCGTTCGTGACGCTCAGTCCGGTGTGGCTGGTCGCGCACGGCCACATCGACGACGCCGGCGTTGAACTCACGCGGCTGTATCGGCCCACCAACACCCAAGCCATCTTGAACGCGCTCGTGGCAGCCCACGAAGAAGAACGCAAGGAATCGTCCGGCGTAAACCCGTGGAAAACCATGTTCTCGTCGAAGTACCGCAAGCAGCTTGTGATTGCGATTGTACTGTGCTCGGCCCAGCAATTGTGCGGGATCAACGCCGTCATGTACTACTCCAGCAGCATCTTCGCGTCCGCCGGCGTCGACGATCCCCGCGTCGGCAACACCATCGTCAACGTCGTGCGCACGTCCATGATCATTCTGGCGGCGTACGTAATGGACAAGTTCCACCGCCGCACGCTGCTCATGGGCGGCATGTCCGTGATGGCCGTCGCCGCCGTCGGCATCATGCTATCGCTGTCGTATCAGAATGCGATCGTGTCTGTCGTGTCCACCGGGCTATTTGTCGGTGCGTTCTGCTTGAGCATTGGGCCCATGGGGTGGATGGTCTCGTCCGAGATCTTCCCCGACTTTCTGCATGCGAACGCAGGCTCGATCGGGACCATGTTCACGTGGCTTGGCAATTTCATCGTGGGGGTGCTCTACCCGACGCTGTCGGCCCCCGACAGCCTCGGCGCATACGCGTTCTCAATCTTTGTGGCGCTGCTTGTGGGCTTTGTGCTGTTTGTGTGCATCGTGGTTCCTGAAACCGGTCACAAGACGTACGTGGAAATCCAGGAATCGTTTGGCATCCACGAACACCACGACGTGGACGTCGATGTTGACGAAGACCCGTGGGCTTGCGACGATGACGAGCTGCCCAAAAAGCCATTCTAGTCGTTTTCAGGATAATAATATGTAAAAAACACACATGAATTACAAACTGCCCTGAATAAATCATTTCTATTGATAGTTTAAATTATTCTATTAATAATTGGCCAGAAGTGGTACATAGAAATCAAGAAATCCGGTTCGCCTTGGGCAAAACTCAAAACGTAATATAATTTGGAATGAAACGTTGGTCAAGTCTTAATTTAAAATGAATATAAAATAGTTTCGAAACGTAAACAGCCCAGTTTACATTTTGTAAACTGAAAATTCAATACTTTGACCTAAAAAACCTACCAAACGGTAAACTTTGTCCAAATCCTTCCAATTGTTTTGTCCATAGACCTCCCACCAAGTTTTCAATGAATATGTAATCAGATTCATGACCTTCGAGTTGGTTCACGTAAAATCACACCTCGAACATTGATGTTTCGTCGGTTTCGTCAACCTTCAACCTAAAAAAACCCAACTAAACCTCCTTGAATTTCATATCGCTTTGGCTCAAATAATAGAGCGGTCCTAGATTGTGGCAAGAAAATACATACAAATAGAATCAATATTGGCCACGAAAGTTCATCAATCGTATCACATGTTTACATTTTGTTAACTGCCAAAAGTATTCTATTTTCGTTTGAAAGTCAACCTCTCGAATTGAATACGGTTACGTTTTGCGAATTTTGCCCAGGCCAAACTGGTTTTCGCGATTTCCCGCAGCCTCTAACATGCTAACAACACGAAATTTCACTCGAAAGCACAATACAGTATTTAAGAGAGCTTTTGCTTCACTTTGGAAATATTAGAGTGATTTTGCACCAAGAATCCACACGAATTTTCCAATACAATTTCCCTGAAAATCCTTCCGTCAATATCATGTTGAAGGTGCTTTTGCTATAGGAAAAATTCAAATTTAAGCAGGGCTGCCGCTGTGTGCGTTGTTGCGGCTCTTCTGGAGCACCTACCGGTAGGGCACGGCTCCCAATCTTTAGGCATATCAACAACCCAGTGCATTAGGTGCAATGTGTACAGTTTGTGACCTTGCACCATCCCTATATGCATGCTGTACTGTGCATCGCGCCGACATTCAAACATGACCGCTTTGAGGTGGTCGATGAAGACTGGGGGATAGGATGTATCTGTTGGCTGGTTTACGTTCGGCACTATACCACTGCTCGCCTACGATATCCTCGCTCATCTACTAGTGCGTCCTACACTTACCTACCGCTCATCTACGTTTGGTGCCGACCATGTTCAAGTGTTTTGATTGGCTACTGTGTGTGTGAAAAGGTATTCCCAGTCAGAAATTCTGACAGAATATATTCATCAAGAAATTCCCAATATAATCAGATCAAAAGGCTTCATCGTGAAACTTTTCAGGAAATATCACGTAGCAAAATCACTCTATTGTTTTCCATTTTGGTCAACATATTACTATACTATTAGGACGAGCTTTTGTTTCACTTTTGGCCAGAATACGACGAAATACTCCCGGAGTAACTTTTTCGAGTTTTGATGCCCAAGGGTAGGTGGCCGTAGCATGCAAGGACAGCATCGTGGCAGAACCAGCACTCAACAGTTCATTGGCGCTGGCGGCTTGGGTTTCATGAAGCTGCTACGTTTGTTCATAAACTGGCGGTACTCGCGCTTGGACTTAGTGTTGGACGTTCCGAGAGCTGGACCGCGGAGGTTTTCCTCGACGACCTTGCCCTTGGTCGTATCAAAGCCCCCAAAGCCCATAAGCAAGCGCATTTGCTCCTCTTCGCTGATTTCAGGTTCGGGGGGTTTGTTCTGCGATGCATTGGACGGCGACGATCCACCTTCGCCTTGCAGGATTCGCTCTCTACATAATCATCAGATATCATGCGTAGAAAACGACTCAACATGTGCATACCTAAAATCTTGAGTGGACAAGACTTCAAAGGCGGGTTTTGGACTTGGAGTACGGCGCACGGGGCGGCGTGGTGGCGGGGACGGCGAATGACGACGCCGACGCTCAACCGACCTGGACCGGGAGCGCGAGCGCCCACGTTCCCGAGACCTCCGACGATCGCGATCTCTCACGTCTCTATCACTGCGCTCCGCCCGTGACGATCGCACTCGCTTCCGGCCCCAGCTATCCATCGACCCGCTGCGGCTTCGACTTCGACGGCCCATTATTAAGAATGGCATATATCCGGATAACCATCTGGGACATCGATATTTAACAGTAAGTTCTGAAAATTTTCAATCATAAGATCGCAAGTAAGCTAACTCTCCGTTCTCTATACTTCAGTACTTTGACTGCATTCCAGCCTCAATGCATCGTAAAGAGTTGCGAGCAGGTTGCGTCCAAGCACAGTCCCATGTACTCCATGCCTTAAGGGAGCCATTATTGCTCGTTTTGCAGGTAACAACAACCAGCATATGACAGAAAAAAATGGACTGAATAAAATACCAGAGTAATTGTATACTAGTACGCCATTATTTAAGTTTCGACCATTTTGAAGTATTGACCCCTCAATTTTTGGTTAACGTTATTATCGCGCGGAGTCGTTAACCGGACAAAAGATTGATGATCGATTGATCCTTCATTCGTCAACGATCTTCTCGACCCGAGACGAGAAGAGACGAGGATGGATTTGACAGCGGGACGACTATGGAAGGTAGATGCATGCATTGGTCTCGTGGGAGATCCGTACATCGGTGGTACCGAGCTTGAAGGGGGCCATCTATCGAACGGGTTGTTGATGGTGGGGCACTTCTTGGCACAGATCGACGACGACCGCGTCAAGGCAGTTGCAAAGCACCTGCAAGACGCCGTGGAACTGTCTCGGTCGAAAGCGGGAGATTCGAAAGAATTCACGACAGTCCTGGGAACGTTCAAGGACTTTTTGGCCAACATGCAAGTCGACGTGCCGTACGTGATCCCCGGTGGGTGGGAGGGCAAGTTGACACGCAATGCGCTGTTGTACATTGCCGAGAAGTCAAGCGACAATACATACTCCCTCACAATCTGTAACCGCGGGCCAGGCATCGAGTACCACCCGAGCCACCCTGACCAATTCAAGGTCAAGGTGCAAGGCAGTGCGACGATTCAAAGCATCCCCGCCGCTCGTTTCTTGGACATGTCGTTTTGGAGCATGGCATTCGCGCTGTGGTTGAAATCTCCTCCATCCGAGTACCATCGCGTGGAAACGCTGTACGACGTGTTGCTTCCGTGGCTAGCCGACTCGGTGCTTCCCACGGGCTTTGCCATCGGCGAGGCTCCCGTCTTCACCACCGCCACGCGCAACAACACTGGATTTGCCAAGAACGTCGTCGAAGCCGCCAAGTTCCTCATGCGAAAGCAGGGCCTTCCCCATGCAACGATCAAACGCGTCCTGTTCGACCTGCGGTGGGACATTCTCAAGCAAATCCATCAGGATCTCCTGGTCGTGCAGAACCCGACGCTACCCTTCCACGGCGTGGCCCCCGAGGTAGGGTGTCGGAATGCTGGTGGCTGTTGTAAGAGTGCATGTCTTGTAGGTCGTCCAAATCCTCGCAGGTATCAACCTCATCGACTCGGTCCACGGCACCCACAACTTGGCTCAGCTCTCGACGGCGTCTGTCGTCGGGCTATACTTTTCCAGCTCCACATGCGGCGTCTGCACAACCTTCTCGCCCAAGTTGCACGCCCTCACTCAACACGTGACGAACGCTCGGTTTCCCATCGTCGTCGTGCCGCTGGACGGCTCCACGGACGAGTTTGCCGCTCATTTGAACTCTCTGCCTCCGTCGTGGTATTGTGTTCCCGTCACAGAAGTCGACGCGCGGAAAGCATTGGTCAAGCTCTTCCATGTGGCGGCGATCCCGACGCTGGTTTTGACGGACGCGACGGGCGCCGTCAAGACGCCCTTGGTAATACCATCCCACGAGTTTGATTGTAGCTGACTTGGGGCGTAGGGGGTCCAAGTCGTGCTAGGGGACCCAACAGGAGCGTCGTTCCCGTGGCTGCCGCCGTACGAGCTCCCAATCGAACGGCTCAGCGACACCGAGGCGACCGTCCTGGACTTCGCCATCAAGCAAACGGGGCTGGCGGCGCTCAAACAAAACGATGCGGGGCGACTGGCCACGGACGAGCTCGTGGCGGTGCAAACGCTGCTGCAGTCTGTCGAAAACACCGCCAAACCATTGCGAGAAATGCCCCCCCACCGTGTCGCAGACCCGTCGACGCTGACCGAGCAGGTGCCAGTGCTCCCGTTTGAACACTTGGAGCATTTTCAAACGACCGACGTCGATGGCTACGCTGGCAACGTGGCCGACGCGACCATACCTGTGCTCACGAGCATGCTCGACATTCCCCACCACGTGTCGACGCTGGCGGAGGCCGCGACGGCCCTGCGACACTGCGAACAGGTGTGCCAAAGCCTCATGCATCGAGCAGCCGACGGGTCATCGTCGTCGCGGGTGGCGCTGCACTACGAGGTCATCCACGTGATCACGACGTTGTTTGTCGAGATTCTGCCCGTGCCGAACCCGTCCGAGGCTGATTTCTGGCGTGGCGAGATCACTCAGGCCGCGCAAGTCGACTGCTTGACGCAAATGCACAATTTGGTGCTGACGTTTGGTCTGGTGTGGCAATCCATCGACCGACCGTCGCGCCACATGGATGCCACACGGTCGCTGGCGAGTATGTGTGCGCTGGCCATGTACGACGTCCTTCTGCGCAACCTCGCGGTGGACGCGCCGTTGGCCATGTCAGTGCTGGTCGCGGAAGGGTATGTGCTGGCGCATTCATTTTGCCAGAATTCGCGGACGTTGGAAGACATGACGCGGGCCATGGAGCTGGTCCAGCCGTCGTTTGGCATCGTGCGGGGCCACGTGTTGGCATACTTTGCCGGCCGACAAGTGAAGAATGCCACGCCCGTGTTCGAGTTTCGCATGCCCGACGAAAAGGTTGAAGTCAAAAAGTACAGCGCCACGATCACGTTTTTGAGGAAACTCATGGAAGTGTACGCGTACCCGTTGATCGACATGAACGACCAGAACCCGCCATCCGAAATGGAGGCGCTGGTGGACTGGCTCACGAGCGACGCCACGCCGCTGGCCCAACATCACGCCGAGTTTGCACTGACGCGGGACGTTGTGACGATGGTCAAGTTCCTCGCGACGATGGAAACCCAGGAAGATGAGCTCATGCGACGCCGTACGGGGCTACGACAGTGGCAGATGTGGTCGCTCACGTTTGACGAAAACACTCGGTTCCGACGCCGGGCGAATGCAGCAGTGCCCAAGCTCAAGTGGGAGGTGTCGGGGTTCCGGGGCAACGACCAGGACATTGCAGACATTGACGTGAGTGGGTTCAACGGTCGCAAGCTGTTTTTTGGCGAAGGTCCGGTGGTGATCAGCCCCACGGCGCTGCCGGCACTGCTGCACACGTCGGCCGCCGGGATCACGGAAGATGACGTTTTACACACCGACACGCTACCCTTGTTTCAAGGCACGCTGTCGTCGGAAGAGTCGGAGTACTTGCTGGGGTACTTGACAGTGCCGTACACGCGCATCCCGCTGGTGCTCAACTTCTTTGCGTCGCGCGACCGCGTCATGTACTTGTTCAATCCGTCGCTGCAGGCGTTGCTGCGCGCAGTGCTGTTTGAAGGAAGCGACTGGGTGTATCGAGACGCTGCTGCTGCTCCAAGTGATGACGTCATCACCCACGTTCCCCTGCGGAAATCGACGCTGGCGCTGCAGGAAGACGCGCTCGAACAAGCCATGGACGCCCGCGTGCGCCATCAAAAGGCCGGCGACCACCTCGGCACGATGAACGGACTGCTCCTCAACGAACTCACACACAGCCCCGATGCCACGCTTGGCCCCGTCCTCGTCATGCTCAGAGCCATCACCGAATTGGGCAATGCGTCCGTGCATTCATCCGACGCAAGCTTCCTCCTGTTTATGATCCATCTGGGGGTAGATGTGATGCGATACGTGAGTTATGCAGCGTTCGAGGGGGCTCCGGAAGGTGTGCGGTCGACGTTGCGCCGCCTTCGCACCGACTTGGCGGGTCAAATCCAAGGGTTTGGACTAGCGACGCTGGAAAAGTGGCGCGTCGAAGCCGAAGACGCCAACGACCTGCGCACGGCCTGTGTCGTGCACTCGTATATTGCGTACATCCACGTGAACTTGCATGAGGACGAGTACTCGGTCGAGAACGTGGCCCAGTTGATGGGAAGTGTGGGGTATGTGCGCAACTGGCACTGCTTTGGCATGCGCGTGACGATCGATGACGAAGATGGGATGCTCTCCAGCGAAGAACGACTGCTGCGGTGGCTACAAGCCCACGGAATCGACACGAAAAACGTGTCGTTGAGTTCGTTGGAAAAGTACTTGACGGAGCGCCCGCTGTTCCTCAAGGTCGGTATGGACATTGTGCAAGCCCCGAATATCCTCAAGAAATCGAGCGACGCGGCGGCGAAATCGCCCCCGGGGTCTGTGTTGGAGAACGAAATCTTTGAGTTGCTACAAGCCAAACGGCGGTCTCTTGTCACATTTCTTGGAAACTTGCCGGCACACGACGTCAACAACGTGCTCAATACGATGCTACACATTGCACTGCGAACGCGTGCGTCGGCCCCGCCTTTGCACACGTGGGAGGTGGAAGCCGCGGGACGGTATGTGTGTGTGCAAGCGGAAATGAAGATCGATTTCCAATCGGGGGAGATTCTGTGGCGAAACGACGAGCTGAAACCGGTGCCCGACTCGATGGTCCAGTACTCGGACTACCGCCACCAGTTTGGCCAAGAGGCGCTGCATTGTGGGCTCATTGCGCGGCAAAGCCACCGGCTGTGGGTGCACATCATCGGAACCCCATTCGAGCTCATGGAGTGGGACGAACCGACCGATGACGACCAGGGCGTCGGTACGCCTCAAAAGTACATTCGCCAACAACCAGCTCCGGATGTGAAAATGTACTGGGAGTGCCCTGCATGTACTTGTGCGAATTTCAACGGCGACCAGCCACACGCGCGGTGCCAAGTTTGCCAAAGCCCCAAGGAACCGCCGCCTTCCCCGCCGCCGCAGCAAGCTGCCTCCGATGCCTCTCCCGCCACCAAGGGCTTTGTCGTGCACGACGTTGTATACAACCGAGTGGTGGATCCGTATGCCAAGGAGGACCATCCGGAAGCGTCAGAGGTGTGGGCAGTGGACTTGGTCCGGAAACTGCTGAAGGCGCTGTTCCCAGAAGATCACCCGACCAAGAAACTTCCGTGTATGTTCTTCCTGCCTGAGATGGTGTTGTCCTCCGACGCCACGACAGTGAAACTGGTCGGGTGGCACGAAAATAACCCGCCGAATGCCGAGTTTCAGTCGACGTTTAAAGAGATCGTCGTGTACCGATGGTATGGCATGGCGCACTTGTTTGCGTGGGTGAGCCACGGCCGCCGCTTGTGTCGGAAGCTCATCTTCACGTCCAACGCGCGGCTGAGTTTGCACGGATTTGTGCCGACGGTGGAAGGCCAGGGTCAAGTGGACGCGAGCATTCAGTTTGCGGCGGGGGACTTTATGGAGTTGCAACCGGCGGGCGGATCGCTCGTGATTGTCCGACGCGGTCACGGAATGGAAGAAACGTACGTGCCCCCGCGGTTGCTGCAAGGACTCGTCCCCAGCGCCTTTCTCGAATCGTTCAAGTTTTGGCTCGGCCAAGACAACGTCATTCGCGGCGAGCCGCTGGATTTACATTCGCAGTGGTTCCGATACCGCCTCGAAGTAGCGCTGGAACCGCATGCTACGATTCTGCGAAAGCCCGTCGCCGCATCAACGACATACGACCAAACGTCCGCGACCTCACCGGGCATCCGTCCGCCGCCCGCCCCCGTGGCCGCTGCACTCCTTCCCCCAGTCCCCGTGAACGACGAGGACGTCGTCCACTTGATGGCCCTCGGGTTTTCGTACGCGGGATGTGTGCTGGCGTTGCGGGAATGTCGCAGTGACATGGAGCACGCGGCGCAGTGGTTGCTCGATGAAGCCAACCAAGCCAAACTGATAGCCGCCGAAGAAACCATCCTGTTGGCCGATGCCGCGGCGGCCGTGCGTGCGTCGTCCGTCAAGGACATGAAACCGGTGAGCGACTCGATGACGGCGGGTGACTGGGTGCTGATCAACCCGCTGCACGTGCCGTCGCAAGATAGCACCATCGCGCGGCTGTGCCAAGTGCTGAGTCGTGTGGAGGATCTGTCACATGTGCTCATTTGGACGACCGGTGTGGATGCATACAAGAACCTGGCGGGCATTGCGTCCATTGAGCTCCCCCGCTTGAAACTCAAACTCACACCAATCGTGGGACCTGAGGACGGCGTCGTGAGACTGCACTTGGTGGATCAGCCCGACTGGTTTGTCTGTCTGGACGTGCCAGCGTCGCTCGCCGCGCTGTCGCTGCCGACGGACTGCCTCGTGTTTGCCACATCACGGGACGAACTGCGAGTGCTGGTGCCCAACCACGACTTGTACCGGCCGACGGTGGTTGGGGTGCCGTTTTCAACCACGATTGTGCCGAATCGAGCGTCCGCGGGGTGGCAACACGTGATGGAGACGCGGTTCTATCTGTACCCCGTGCACACGAGCCACCGGTTCCTCACGAGTCCGTCTCTGAGTGCGACGTTTTACTTGATCTTGCTGCATCTTATGGCCCGGCAATACGCTAGCGCCGCACAGTACATTCGCATGTCCCACATCGACGTGGAGTTTACGGACGAAGAAGCGTGGATCTTCAACCAAGTGGTGAAAACGCTCGACGACAGACACCCCGACGCCTGTGCGTGTCGAGTACTACTCAATTTGGCGGTGCAGTACAGCCCCAACAAGTGTCCGTGGCGCATGGCCGACGAGCTGCACACAGTGTCAAGCAGCGTCGCGCATGTACAAGCGGCATGCCGGCTGAGTCTGGAGGAAGAAGGCGATGCGTTGAGGCGGAGCGAGACGCTGTCGTCGTTGCTACACACTCGACTAGCCATCTGCCACCAACCGCAGCCGGGGACCGTGGTGACGTTAAAGCCAGCGCGGCTAAGAGTTGGAGGGCAGCCGTGGGTCAAGCTCAATATGCTGAGCACGAGATTCTTGCAAGAACATGCGACAGGTCTCACCCACGTTCGATACAAACCCCCGGCCGCCGAGAGTTTGGTGGACGAAGAGTGCCTGAAATTAGTGTGGGACCACATGGTCGTGGCGGACGAAGCAAGCGGGGCCAACCGCGGGTTGGGGTGTTTGTTCTTATACCAATGTCTTCAAGGCCGAGTGAAGCTCCAGCTGTATGGGGAAGACCGGACGCGGTCGCTGGCCGAGTTGTTGGGGCGGTTGCTGCACTTAAAGCTGGCGCGATGGGGCAAGGAAGTGGTGGAAGACGGCGAGGAGGAGGTGGTGGTGCCCGTAGCCATCACCCAGATCAGCGCCGTCCTCGCCAGTCCGTACCACGAGTGGCCAGTGCTGCCCCAGGACCCGAGCAGCAAGATGCAACTGGAGCGCGGCATCAATCTGCATTCGAAAGCGCTCAAGGACTCGATGCTCAAGCACTTTTTTGACCTGACCAAGGTGGAAATGGAGACGTTGTTGCACACCACACAAGACATCCCCCGTCTTCGCCAGCAACTCAGCCATGCGCACCAAAGTGTGTACGAAACAAACGTGACGGTCGCGGCGTCCCCGTTCGCGCTGCTCGAGGCCCCGACCAACTCGAGTTGCAACTCGCGAGAGATTTCGTGCGACTTGAATCCACTGGCGCCATTGGATTTCCTCGACGCGGGTCGCTACGTCGTGCACACGCCCCGTGAAACCCAACTGCCGACCACGCTTCCGTTCGACTTGAAGCAGCACCCGTCGGCGCAGAGTGTCGTGGCCAAAGACTTGCTCTCTCGGCTGGCGGAAGACGTCAAGCATCACGCCGATGCCACGAATTCCACGCAGGACGTGTACTTTAACGGGATTGTCCGCGGGCAGTTCAATCTGGCGGGGGCTGAGGAACAGCTTGACCATCTGATTGCCGACTGTACGACCCAGCGAACCAAAGACAAGGCCCATCTGGAACAGTGTATTGCCGAATTGGAACAGCGCGTCAATGCCGTGGACGTTGGGAGTGCATCGTCGGACAATGCTGCAGTGACACTGGCCAAAAGTCGGTTTTTGCTTGCTCGCCAAGCGCGCCAAAACCAACCGGCCGACCTAAACTACATTGCCGCCTCCCTGGCATCGACTAACATGGCGGCGGATCTCCAGCAAAGGAATCCGTTTTTTGACGTGGCGACGTTGCCGGCAGTGCTCAAGTCGGTGCAGGACATTCTCTTTGGATGCAACCGCATCAACCAGCTCAATCGCTTGATCCAATCGGCCGAAACTTTGAAACGACTGACGTCCAACGCCAGCATACCCCACGAACGCCTCTTGCACGCGTCCCAAGACGTGGCGCACCAGCTGCTTGCCACGCGGCACTACATCACTCAGCAATCGCAGTTTGACCCGCGCTTTTTGATGTTTGAATACGTGTTTGAGCTCATGCTGCGGTCACGCCAGGTGGAAATGGTGGACAGTTTCATGCGAAGCTTACGTGGCGGGACGTCTCGCGTGCAGCAAATGATCATGGGCGCAGGCAAGACCACCGTTGTGGGCCCGCTGCTCACGTACATGCTGGCCGACTCGACGGTGCTCATCACGCACGTCATGCCCACGGCGTTACTTGAGCAATCGCGCGCCGTTCTGCGCAGTCGCTTCAGCAACGCCATTTTGGCCAAGCGCATTTTCACGCTCAGCTTTGACCGGAGCATCGACGACAGCCCTGACCTGATTGTGTCGTTGGCAACCAAATTGACTCGCGCGTGCCGGCAAGGCGACGTCATTTGCGCGTCGCCGGAGGCCATCAAGTCTCTGTTTTTGAAGTTTGTCGAGCTGTTGCACTCGCTGGACCAGTCGACGTTTGACGCGGACTTCGACTTGCACGATGCGTCCAAGACTGGCCAGCGCATCCGCAAACTGCTCACTGCACGATCCGACATGGCCGACGAACTGCATCGCATCTTGCGCTTGTGGCAGCAAGGGATTCTCATCATGGACGAAGTCGACGTGTTGCTGCATCCGCTGCGCTCCGAGCTGAATTTCCCCATTGGCAACAAATTTCCCATCGACTTGGCCGCGAATCGGTGGGAATTGCCCTTGTTTCTACTCGACACGATCTTTTCCACCGAGCATGCCGCGTTGGCCGACGCCCTCGCGTACGGATACGAGATTCACGCTTTACAGCGGTTTCCCCATCTCGTGCTACTCGACCAAGGCTATTACGACGTGACGCTGCGCCCTCTACTCACGCAACTCTTGTACACTAACTGGCTGCTTCCGCACTTGAAAATGGGCAAGAACGACCTGTCCAAGCAAGACATCACGGCGTACATTGAAAGCGAGTCTCTGCAGTCGTTTCATATTGCCGATCAAGTGAGCGACCATGGCCTGAAGCTGCTCAACCTGTCGAGAGACTGGATCCGGTCGTTGTTGCCCCACTGTTTGTCCAAGATCAATCGCGTGTCGTACGGACTCCTTCGGCATCATCACATGCAGCACACCCACACGCCGTCGCGGCTGCTGTTGGCCGTGCCGTTTGTCGGCAAGGACGTTCCCAGTCGATCGTCCGAGTTTGCCCACCCAGACGTTTTGATTGGGCTCACGATCTTGGCGTATCGGTACGAAGGCATCCGCCGGAGCGACGCCAAGACGATCGTGTCGCAGCTTAAACACGACTTCTCGAGGCAGTTGGGGCCGCGGGACGAACGGCCTGCGTGCGTCTTGTTTCGGTCGTGGCTTGTCCAAGGGCTAGAGTCCACGGGTTCGGTGCACGGGGTACTGCCACTGCCGCTGTTCCAGCTCAACGATGCGTCCCAAGTGACGCGGCTGCTCCAGCTCATCCAGCGGTTGCCGTCGGTCGTGTACTACTACGTCCGTCAACATGTGTTCCCGTCTTGCATGAACTTTCAACAGCTCAAAGTGTCTGCGTGCGGCCATGAATTGGGCAGCCACAGTTTGTTTGCGCGGCGGGTGGGGTTTTCTGGCACGCCGTCGAATCTGCTGCCGCTGGACTTGGGCACGTGCCACTACGAGCCGCAGTCGGACGGCAACATCTTTAGCGTGCTCACGTCTCCATCTGTGACGACGTTGGAACGAAAATTGAACTGGACGGCCACGACGCTACTGCGAGACATTGCTACCAGCGACCCGCCCGTGCACGCGCTCATCGACACGGGCGCGCTCATCACGGGGATGGACAACGAACAGGTGGCGAGGTACCTCCTGAGCCATTTGCCAGCGACGATGGAGGGAGTAGTTTATCTCGACACGAGCGACCGGCAGATGATTTTGCTGCGAGACCACGCGGCAGCGCTGCCGTTGATTCAATGTGGCCTCAGTCCCGACAAGCGGTTTTCGTTCTACGACCAAGTGCATACAACTGGCATGGACATCAAGCAAGGCATCAATGCGCGCGCAGTGCTGACGCTGGGGAAGGACATGACGTTTCGCGATTATGCGCAGGGAGCGTATCGCATGCGGGGCATCGGTGCCGGTCAAACGATTCACTTGTACCTAATCCCCGAAGTCGAGAACCGAATTCGCCAGGAACTGTCGCTGGTGGACGCCAAGTCCTCACTCGACAGCTTTCGACTGCATGTGCCGGCGTGGCTGCTCGTCAACTCGATGAAGATGGAGTCGATGCAACTGGTGCAGCTGTCGCTCCAGGAACTGCACAACATTTGGCGCACGCGGGCGTTGGAGGCGCTATTGGTGGACGTCGACACAAACAAATCCAAACACTCGTCTGGCCAGCGCCTGCTCCGGTTTCACCAGTCGCTGGCGCTGCGGCCGTGCATTGAAGCATTCCGCGTCCAAGTGTCGTACGCTATCGCAGCCCAAGTGCCCGTACCCCGCGCTATCACCGACACGATCCAAGAGCTCACGGCACTCCACGCCACCCTGCTCGAACCGTCAGATTACGACCGCGTAGCCCAAGTCACCGCCAGAGTCGCGACGTTGATGGATATGTCGAGCGATATGCACTTGAACGCCGAAGTGGTCCATGAAAACGAAGCCGAGGCGGAGGAGGAAGCCGAGGAGGAAGCCGAGCAAGAGGAGCAGAAAATGAGCGCATACCCCCGCGACGACGAGCATCCGGTCCCGTGGTCCACGGACGCCTTGCTGCAATGTCCTTCGACTGGGGATGCGTTTTACCCGCTGTCGTTGTTTCAGGCGCAGTCGGCCTGCCGCGCGATCGCCTTCCCTGGTACAATGCTCGTGTCGGGCAACTATTTTCGCCGCCGATGGATAGGGCTCGGCGAGCGCCGCCTCAAAAACATTGGGTTTCTCATGGAATGGTATCCGAATGCGATTCAGAATCACTTGAAGGAGCGCATCGGGGTGCACTTTGTGACGCTGGTCGCGACGGGCCTGCCGCCCACCGACGCCGCCGCCCAAGCGATTCATCTAGCGTCGCAAGATCCCATGACAACATCCGTGGCGACAGAAGGGTACGTCGTGGCACTGTCCCTCGCCGAAGGAGAAACCATTCGACGTATGCTGCATTGTGCACACCCAGTGTTTACCAGCAGTCGCGTGCAGCTGCACATGTCGGACGGCGCCCTCGTCGAGTCATCCCACCGCGCGGGTCCGTCCCTTGCCCACCTCCCCGAGGCCCTGCAATCCTTTCGGTTTTTCAATAACGAAATGTACTACACACCCGAGCAAGTGGCGGCGCTCCTGTCGGGACTCACGTCCGTGCCTCTGCATTGGCGGCACGATTTCTTCCAAAGCACGCTGCGGCTGCGACGCCGCGAGCGGCAGCTGTGGGGGGACACGCCATTGGCCAAGGTGTTTACAAAGGAGGACGAGTGGCATCTGTTGAGTGCGCGTGCCAAGATGGAGCAATTTCAACGCGGGATCAAAGCCAAGAAGATCAGTTTAGTCACGGCGTGGCACCGCTTCGACGTCAACAACCACGGCCGGCTGTCGTACGACGAGCTGTTGCGGTGTTTTGAGAGCTTTCAGCTTGGGTTCAGCCCAGGCGACTTAAATGAAATCATCGGATTGATGGAAGGCCAGCAGGACGGCGTGACCATCGCCAAGCTTGCGCATGCGTTCGACGTGGACTTGCTGGTCGAATCGATGGTGGACAAGTCGAATAAACCCGACGAGCACACTCAAGACCCGTGGCTGTGTGTTGTGTGCACCTTCCAGAACGACGGGCTCGTGACCAGCTGTGTCATGTGCAACGAACCCCGCGACCACACAAAGCAAGTGGCCGAAGTGGCCCAAACGTGGCAGTGTGAAAATTGCACGTTTATCAACCCCATCGCAGAAACCACATGCGCCGTGTGCGAAATGGGAGCCAGCGGCCGCCGTGAAGTGCCCAAGGACAAGTGGATTTGCGACCCCGAGCAAGGCGGGTGCACGTACTTCAACCTCAAGACGGCGTTCTATTGCGACGTGTGCAACCGCGCTCGTCCAGATTTGGCCACGCATCGCTTTTAGGCGACATAACGAAACTAGCTACTATCTTTATATAGACAAAAAGTTGTCATACTTGCTGGACGAAGTTGTGCACATTTATGGCATAGAAAACCCAAATCCCAAACGTTTGAGCTGGCCGGCGGGCTACGCAATGATATGAACGCAATGTCAAAGTGCCAAAGCACCCACATACGTAGACATTTTGAAGATACAATATGTAGTACGTTATGGTCAATATGTAGAGCTGAGCTAGCTGCACACTGTATGTGTAAATATGAATATGGATTATAGGATTAGCAGACAACGAGGGCTGCCATGTCGCTGAGCTTGGGGTGCTTCAAAATGGCCGAAAGCGTCAACTTGGTCATTCCGAGCTGTCTTTGCATGCAGTTGAGGACCTTGAGGGTGGAAATCGAGTCACCGCCGACGGCAAAGAACGACGTGTTGCGTCCGATGGTCGTCGCATCTATGTTGAGCACTGTCGCCCAAATCTCTGCCAGTGCTTTCTCGGCCTCAGACTCCAAACGCTCCAAGTGCACCGACACATCCACATGTGCCAGTGCCTTTTTGTCGATCTTTCCGTTGGCATTTTGGGGGAGCTCGGCCATGCCCATCCACACTGCTGGCACCATGAAGGGCGGAAGCAGGTCCTCCACCACGGCACGCAAGTCGTCCACGCTGACAGTCGACGGGGCATAGTACCCCACCAGGTGCGTGTTGTTCTTGACCAGCACCGCGGCGGACGTGACGAGGGGATGTTGCTGCATGGCATCTGCCACTTCGTCCAGCTCGATGCGGTAGCCCTTCAGCTTCACTTGGGTGTCTTGTCGACCAATGACTTCAAACTCCCCGTTCCATTGCAGCCGCCCGATGTCCCCCGTCCGATACATGGAGCCCCCCGCGAAGGGGTCGGCTACAAAATGCGACTCAGTTTCTAACGGGCGGTTGATGTACCCTGGAGAGACGCACACGCCGCCCAAGTACATCTCGCCTTCCACCCCCACGGGCACTGGCTTCTGCCACTTGTCCAAGATGTAGCATGCAGTGTTTTGAATGGGGGCGCCAATCGTCACAGCCGCGTGGGGGTGGAGCTCTTTCACGTGCGACTCTATGGCACATTCAGTGGGGCCGTAGCAGTTCAACAGCGTCACGTGCGAGGAAGCCCACAGGTTGTTGATGGCCATCGGCATGGCTTCACCCCCCACAGCCACCACTTTTAGACGGGGGAATTGAGCGGGGTCACCCAACAGCGCCAGCGCCGTGGGGGTACAAGAGAGCACGTTGGCACTGGCTACGGTGGCCAACACGTCCGATTGGCGCAGTACCAACGTGCCTCCAAAGCTCAAGGCCTTCCACGTCTCCCACTGACACCCGTCAAACCCGATAGCCATAAACTGCACTACGCGGCTGCCTCTGGGGATGTCACTTGACCGATTCACAATCACGTTCACAGCGGCATCGTGCACGACTGGCACGCCCTTGGGGTGGCCGGTGCTACCTGAGGTGTACACTACATACGCTTCGTCTTTCGGGGATGCCAATGCTGTTAGGTGTTGGGTTACGGGTGGTGCCTTGGCCAAGTCGATGGAGGAAGTGAACACCACTGGAATCGACAACTCCATCTCGTCGATGCGGTAATCGTTGGCTTCGGTCGTGATCACCGCCACAGCGTCGGCGTCGTCTAGAATGTACGACAATCGATGGGCTGGAAAGGTGGCGTCCAGTGGGATCATGGCGGCGCCTGCTTTGAGCACCGCCAGCATTGCGATGGGAAATTCCAAGCATCGCTCCATAATGACGGCCACGCGAGATCCTACGCCAGCCCCGAGCTCAGCCAGCAGCCGCGCGAGTTTGTTGCTTTGGTCGTTGACTTCGCCGTACGTCAGCACAAGGCCGTTGAACTCGACGGCTGGGTCCAGGGGGTACTTGCTGGTGTGTGCTTCAAACCCGTGGTGCAAGAAGGCGAACGGAAGCTCCACTTGAGGACCGAGGGCACACTCATTGATAAAATGCGTCTGGCTGCCGGACAACCCGTCCAGAACGTCCACGGATGCTTCCGCGAAGTTGGGCAGATTCGCCAATGTCGCAAGGAGGTCGTCGAATTCGACGAGAATCGAATGCGCATGTGTCCAGGACATGTGGTTAGGGCTGGCTAACGCGTGCAATTCGAGCCCGTCGTCCGTCGCAGGAACGACAATCACTTCGTACGGGTAGTAGTCGGACGTGTTGGTGTGGCTAGTTTCTGAAGTGTCGACTGCCTCGAACTCGTCACATTGGGACTCGAGAGTAGCTTGGGACTCTACAAAGGCAAACAACGTGTTGAATAGCTCCCCTTCCACGCCACTCCATTGCTTGATGTCCACCAAACTGGCATGGCCATGTGGAATCACGTCGCGGTTGCTGCCTTCCAACGCTCCAAGGAGGGTTGCCAACTTTGTGTTCGCGTCAAACTGGACACGGCTAGGAACACTGCTCATGACCGCCCCCATCATCCTAGTTGAAAAAATCCTTAGAAGAGACGAAATTTTGAGTGCAACTTTCTGTACCGTTCGACGCCTTGGACAGGAATGTTTCGATTCGCCAACACTTGACCAAACACAATGTCTGTTTGTCGCGTGTATCGTCGCAGCGTTGCGGCCCATCCAAACTGCACCAACGTAGCCAAAGTAACGTTGGCAGCTGCGGCAATCTCGGCCAATTTCGACCGCGACGTCGCCGCTCGAACACACAACGGCTCGGTGTTTTCAAATGAAGTGCTGGCCACTTCCACGCCCAAGAGTGTGCCGGACGAGCCGCCCAAGTAGGTTTGCCAGAACGCCTTGGTCACAGCTGGGTCTTGAGCCAGGATGAAATCCATGACGTGGCGGAACGGGGGACGAGGCACGACGGGGAAGGTCTGGTACAGTCGCTGGAAGTCGGACATGACGAAGTGGGCCGCGTGGCTGTCATAGAGCACGTGGTGCATCGTCAGGACAAGGAACCGGTCGGACGATGCTGTTGCGACCACGGTCATCCGAAGGAACATGCGATCCCCCATGTGAAATCCCCGCTCTCGATCATGCGTCGTGAACTCGTCCAACGACTTTGCGGTGACTTGGGCGACTTTCGCATCCTTCGACATGTCCTGATGAATGACTTGGAACACGCCAGCTGGCGTCGATACAAACCTGGTCCGCAGGAGTTCATTTTGAGCCACCAGTTGCTGGAACGTCCCACTCAATCGTTGGACGTTGAGCGATTTCAATCGAAACGCAAATTGATGCACACTTGTGGTCGGGTCCTGCATCGTTGTGAACATCAAGCCAGCTTGAAGCGGCGTGGTTGGGTAGATCAAGTACGATCCGTTCTCATGGTTCATCATCGAGTGCACGGCGGTAGTAGCGTCGACTGCTGCTTGTCGCAGGGTTTGGGGCAAAGTGTCGACGTGCAGAAGTCCATTGGGCAACACACACCCTCGATCCCCTGTTAGAGTGCTAACATCGGATGTATTGTCACTTTGCATGGCATTCTCCACGACAGACTTGGTATAAAGGTCCCCAAACACTCCCACTGGCACTTGGCGATGGGGATTCACCACGACGGTGCTTTGGATGCCATGCATGGGACGCCACCCGCTCGCTTGGTCATCCGACACATGCGTCGGCCGGGTCAGTTGGGATGGAACGTACACGTGCGTCCGTCGACAGGAGGTGCCAGCCACAGACGTTGGCAGGGAGCAACCCCCCAGTCCCCATACCACCACGCGGTCGAGGGCTGCATGCGACACGGAGGACACTGACTCAAATGAGCCAGTCATGACGTCCACGGATGCCAGGGACTTCAGCACGTCGTGTCCAGGGCAAACCACAGTCCCACCGCAACTCCATGCAGTCCACGTGTCGTAAAAGTGACTCAAATCAGTCGTTCCAAACGACATGACTCGCGTACAGTTGGAGTACTTGAGCTCTTGAGCCAGATCTGACGCGGCACGAATCACGTCTAAGTGACGCACGACTTGACGCGTTGGCTTGTCCGTGAACTCGATGCAGTCAGCGCTTGACGAGGAAGCGGTCAGGGCCTCACACGGAGATGCGGGGGTATTCAAGTCTGCCAAATTGACGTGAAATGTTGTGGCAGAAGTGTTTACAGAATTCGGCTGATCGGCGGGCAACAAGATCAGCTCCACTGTCGAGTACACGGGTTCATCTGTCGACCCATGCACGTTGTTGACTTGGACAACCACACCACTAGCCTTGAGCACCGCCAACATACTGACGTGGAATTCGAAACTGTCGCGATTCATCACCACTGCCACTCGCGCTTCCGACGACACCCCCAGCACCACCAACTTTGCTGCCAATGCATCCGACATCGCATTGAGGTTCCCGTACGTGAGCCACATGCCATCGAGTTGAATCGCACGAGCCTGTGGCTGAGATTTGGCTTGGTGTTCAAACAACTGGTGGAGTTGGCCATGACGTGGCACGAGAGGAGAGAGGGGACTACTTTGCAGTTGAAGAACTTCAATTTGAGCCCTACCAAGTCGCCATAACTCCGAGACAAGCGACGGGGCTTTCACGAGGCAGTTGGTCACTTGGAGCATCGTTTCGCCAAACTCGTGGACGATCATCTGGGCTTGGATGCTTGTCATCATCGCAGGGTGAAACAGCCCTTCAATTACCAGCGATGTAGACGACGGTTGCACCAGCAGCTCAAACGCGTATTCATCAGAATGCGATGTGTGGGCGGTGTTTTCAATGATGGCAAATCCGTCTTGGTCACCAGAAGACGGCAAGTTCTGATAGACAAACAGCGTGTCGAAGAGATTGTCGCTGTCCCCAAGCCCACTCCAGCGCTTGACGTCAACCAGTCCGGCATGCGAATGAGCCATCGACGCCACACGACCGGCTTGCATGCTTTGGAGCAGTTGCGTCACTGATACAGCATCGTCAAACGTCACTCGACACGGCACAACGTTGATCAGCGGCCCCATGATCCTACAAATTAGCATCCACGTTAATACATGTCAGAATCCAGAACTCCGTACGTTTCGGCGTCGTGCACGGGAATGTCTCGGTTCGCCATCACTTGGCCAAAAACAACGTCGTTGCGCTGCGTGAATTTGCGAAGGGTGGCCGCCCACGCCAACTTGGCCACATCTGCCACGGTCGACCCAGCAACTTGCGCGGCCTTGGTCAGACCTTCCAGTGGAATTGAAATGCTGTCTAGAAAATGCTTCTCGTCACCGACTGATGGACGGACCAGCGAGTTGACCAGAGTGGCATGCGACAAGGCGGAAAAGTACGTGGTCCAGTATGCCTCTGCCTTGACCATGTCTTGCGCTTCGATGTAGTCGACGACAGTTCGAAAGCTGGGTCGAGTAGACACGATGGGGCGTTTTTGTAATGCCTTGAAGAGGTCGTTCAGGAGCATCGCGTGCGACCACCCGTCGTACAGCGCATGATGGATGGTCAGCACGGCTACAATGGAGCAGTCTCGTTCGGTGGAGACAACAGTCAGGCGGACAAACGATTTGTCGCCGAGAGCAAACCCTCGGGCGAGGTCTTCCGCCAAAAAGTCTTTTAAACTCGCCGTCGTCGCGATGGACAACGGAAGTTGCTGGACATTGTCCCCCTGAGATTTCTGCAGAATCTGAAAAATGCCACTGGACGTGCTCACAAACGTCGTCCGCAATATGTCATGGCACGCCACCACAGTTTGAAACGCCCCGTCGACATCGGCCAACGAACATGTGGATGGAATAAGCAGAGGCGTTTGATGCACGTACGCATGTCGGTCCTTGGCTGTGGCGAAGAGCATCCCCCCTTGCAACGGAGTCGTGGGGTACACTTCAATGTCCCCCCCGCCCAGCGCCGCCCTCCACTCGTCGTCAATTTGAGTCCGGACGGAAGCTTTAACCGTTGCCTGTGGCCAAACCAGCATGTCCGATGCGGTGGTCGCGGCGGCGGCAACGCGCCACAAGACGAGTGTTTCCATGAATTTAGCCACCGTGAGGAACAACCCAGCTTTCTTGCACATAGCCACAGCCGAAATGACCGAAATCGAGTCGCCCCCCAGGGCAAAGAACGACGTGTTGCGTCCAATGGCGTTGACTTCCACGCCCAAGACATCGGCCCACGCGGCGGCCACGACCTTTTCCGTCTCTGATTCCAGAGCTTCGATCACCACATTAACGTCGAATGTTGCCAGAACTTTCACGTCAATCTTGCCGTTGGTGTTTTGCGGCAACGCGTCCAGACCCACCCATGCTGCAGGCACCATGTACACGGGCAATAAGGCGGCGACAGTTTCGCGTAGAGCATTCATATTGACATTGGCCGGTGAGAAAAAGCCCACAAGATGGGTCTTGTCCTTGACGATCACAGCAGTGGACACGACATCGGGATGCTGCATCATGGCATTCGTCACTTCATCCAACTCGATGCGATACCCCTTGAGCTTGACTTGGGTGTCTTCTCGACCAAGGACTTCAAATTGGCCGTTTGGCAGCAACCGCCCCAAATCTCCCGTTCGAAACATGCATTCAGGGGGTTGATTGTTCCCTAAGGCGATGGACACGAAGCGGTACGTTGAGTCATCTGGCCGGTTGATATATCCAGGCGAGACGCAGATGCCGCCCAAGTAGATCTCCCCCACGACACCCACGGGCACAGGCCGGAACGAGGTGTCCAAGATACGGCAGGTGACATTGTTGATCGGTCGGCCAATGGAAGTGGGCTGACCCTTGGAGAGACATTGGACATGGGTTTCAATGGCACCTTCAGACGGGCCATACCGATTCACCAGAGTCACGTGGTCAGCCCACAAGTCCTTGAGGGCAGAGGGCATGACTTCCCCGCCATGAGCCACCAGCTTCAAGCGAGGGTACTGCGATGGTTCCCCCAAGTGAGACAAGCCCGTCGGAGTAATCCCCACGACGTCGATCGAAGGCAAAATGTCGAAGATGTTGCTACCACGGAGAACTAGAGTGGCGCCATGGCTCAGGGCCTTCCACAAATCCCATTGGCAGCCATCAAATCCAATGGCCATGACTTGTAGCATGCGACTTCCCTCGCAAATGTGATGGAATCCGTGGGGTTGGTTGAAAATAGTATTGGTGACGCCTTGATGCAATACCGGGACGCCTTTGGGTTTCCCCGTCGACCCCGATGTGTACACAAGGTACGCTTCGTCCTTAGAGGAGGCAATGTGACAGGGCAACTGACTGAATGCTATTGGGTTCAACGCGAGCCGCTCAGTTAGAATGGTGACCACTTGACATGACAACCCTTCCAACCGACCAACAAGAACATCCGTAGTCACAAGTACGTCAACCCCAGCATCTTCCAGAACCAGTTCAAGTCGGTCCAGAGGAAACGCAACGTCCAGTGGCATCATAGCGCCCCCAACTTTGAGCGTCGCAAGCAATCCGATAGGTAACTCCAGACATCGATCCATGATCACTGCCACGCGGCTGCCGACACATACACCCAACTCGGCCAACTCACACGCCACCGCATTCGCCTGGGCGTTCAATTCACCATAC